TAGTAATTAGTTATTTGTGCATATCAGTATTTGTAACTTTAACATATTGTTGTGTGAGAAATGTTACTGGGGAAATAGTTCAGCCAGTTTGGAGGTGCTGTCCTATATCTTGGAATGAATTAACCATTGCTAGTGGAAATTTACAAAGTCAAAATTGGAAGGTTTTATTCATTCTTGAATTTTTCCTTTCTAAAGAGCTCTTCTATTTATGCATGCCTATTTTTTTTAAATGTAGAGGGATACTTGTGTTCATAATAAACAAAGTTAATCATGTTTTGCCACAATTTTCAGGTGAAAAAATAAATGTTAGAAAATAGATTAGGAGTTTTATATTATTTAGTGTAGTGTTAGATACACACACATATGCACATAAGTGAGGAAGAAGTATTTATGTAGGTGTCAATTTGTAACATATACTATTCTATATTTAGTCTTTTAGACTAAATTAATTTGTTTTTATTATCCTAACTATGGTACAACTGCTTCTTACTTATGACAGAGGTTCTCACAGTTCTTAAACAAGAGTAGTAGGATCTCCTTGATATTTGTTGGAAATTCAGTTTCTTAGCTTGCCCAGACACAATTTATCAGAAAGGGTGGTAAGGTAATCTGTGTTTTTAACAAGCCTGACAGGTGAGTCTGAAGCTTTTTGAAATTTGAGAGCCTTTGCTTTCATTAATATAGTGTTTTACTTACATTATGTCCTTTGATCCTTATAGTAATCCTGTGATATATTGTAATTCTTCATGTGTGTTCTTGGGGAAGTAAGGATTGAGGGATTAAGTATTTCCTTCTGAGTTACACTGCTGTTCAGCAATATTCCAAAATAGAATTTTTGGTCTTTTTCAGATAATATGTTGCTCTTTCCTTTGAATATATTCTGAAGCAATTTTAGTTATTTTCCTATTCCAGAGTTTTGAATGATTGTTATCTGATCTTTTAAAATTTTAATCAATGTCTCATGTGAAGAACATTTTGACAAGTTAGATAACAGGACTAGAATTCAAATTCACATACTGTTTCTGCTAGTTTAATACTGGTTCCATCATATATTTTAAAAATGAAATGTCTTTAACTAAAAATAAATATGTAAAATAGTTTTTAAATGCATAACCTAACAAACCTGAAATTAAAAGTACAAAGAATTCTGTCAATTTAAATTCAGCTTCTTATGGACTTGAACCTCAGTATTTTAATTTTATTTTAATGACACATGCTCATTTAACTGCTTCTCATTTACCAAAAGAATTTCCAAGATTGATTTGGAATTATTTCTGCCAAATGAAACAATGCTGTTTTGTTAGTTGTAATTTTCATGAGTCTGTTTAAATTAATTAACCAAATTAACAAACCATAAAATCAAGTATGTTTATAAAGACCCAAAACCTTATAATGATTTCTATTGAAGCCTCTAGACAGAAAAATCTTAAAAAGAAAAATAGGTTACTTTAATGAACAAAACATGATGGATTCTTTAATAAAAAGAAATTGCTACTTTAAGTTGTAACTAATATTTCTCTTGGCTACAGAAGAAAATAATTTGCAAAGTGATAAGTTGACAAGTCAGACTGAAATAATTAATGATGATTTAGGGTCATATTTTACTTTCCCTTATGTTCACTGTATCTTTATTTCCAAAGAATTTACATAATGTAGCATTTGCATTATGGAGAATAAAAATCTTGTCATATTATATTACCGTAGCTTATCTGGTAAATGATTTTGAGGCTCTACTTGTTATATAAAATACCTTTAAAAACATCTTTATAGTGGTGGTTTTATTTTTCTTTTAAACTTGTTTGACTTTGGGGAGGATAAATATGTAGTGTACTTATTAAATAATTTCACATAATAATTCAGTGATCTCTGTAGTTATTAATAATTCAGTTTCTTGATCCCACCCCTCTTCTTACTCAGATGGTCTTAGAAGAGAGCTTACTAATCTGTTTAAATGAGCACCAGCAGTGAATCTGATAAAGGAATTCCTGGGTCTCAGTGTAAAAAAGGAAGAGAAAAGTACTTCTTCAAGTTAACACCAAAGATACCAAAGTTAAATATTCCAAAAACTACTTTAGCCTCTGTTATGTTCCCTGCTTCTATAGCCAGGCCAGGCTGTATATCCTAGTTTTTGTTATTTCCTCGCAAAAAAGTATACAGCTTGGAGTCTTGGAATATTGTATAACTGTTACTCAGTACAAGGCTTGGTACATAGTGGGTACTACATAAATATCTTAGGATGGATGAATAAAGGAGACCCACCAGCGTAATGTTTAGAATTTCTAAATTATCCTCATTCCATCCTTCCTTTGGTTCCACTGTCTAAATCATGTGTAGTTTTATTTTCTTTCTTATACAGATTTTCATGGAAGGTCCCATGTCTTGTCTAGACATTTTCATATTTCTCCTTTTAGCAGTATTTTACACATACATGGTCAGTAAATATTTATCAAGTAAAAATATTTCGTGTTTCTTTAAACCATACTAGATTCTCACCTCAGTGAAGGTGGGGACTTTATCTCGTTGTTTTTTTTTTTTTTTTTTAGCTTTCTTATGGCTTGAAATTGACTATATGCTTAGAAACATTTGAATGGATAAATAGGTAAACAAAATAGAAGTAACTTTATTTTAATTTAAGTTTGCTTAAAATGTAAAGTTGAGGGTTACTGAGGTTTTATAGATAATACATTTTATTTTTATGTGGAAGAAAAAAATCTACCTTGTCAAACTTGCAGTTGAAATGTTCCTGCCTTTTACAAGAGATAAAATGGTAGATTGTGACAGATTTGGAACTGGTGAAGCTTCATGTGGGCATTATGGTTAACAGACTTTTCCTTTTTACTTAGTCTTAAATAGATTATGTCAGTAATTATGAGAATATAATAATTTGATCCTAAATGTAGTCTGTTAACATTCTGTGAGGTAAAGATATTTCCTCGGGGCAAGCTAGAGAGCCCACAAAATCAGAGTTTTCTTTAGTCAAAAGTAAGAAAACAGAAGACATTTTCAAGTAAAAGCAACACTTTCTGAAATAAGTTCTATTAGTGTACTCTTTAAAAATGTTCATATAGATCAGGGATATAGTTCAGTGGTAGAGCATATGCCTTTTATGTTCAGAGCCCTGGGTACAGTCTGTAGCATCATAAAAAGAAAAAGAAAAAAAAAAATTTGTGCTTGGGATGTAGCTTAGTGACAGAACACTCACTGAGCACCTGCATGGCCCTGGGTTCAATCTCCAGTGCTGCAAAAACRAAACACACATATAMATACATACACATATATACACAATTTACATATATGTATGTGTACTTATACACATACACATATGTGTATGTATTATGTTTGTTTTGAAAATACTATCAGCAACTGAGAGCTCTGGTAAAGTGTGAAATCTCAAGCTTTTATACCTTTATTGTTAACTTCTGTTAAATTTTTCCAGTTGACTTAAATGCTTTTCTCTCCCTTTTTTCTAAATGCTTTGGAGATTTTTTTCTTTGAAGAAATTCTGATTTTTTTTTCCAGATTATCTTCTTACCTTTATGTTGAATGAATACTAAAAGAATATTAGTTATTTAAACATTCCAGTTTTGTGAATGATTGTTAAGAGATTTTAYTCCAATGTGAGTTTTAGCATCACATATGTGAGAACATTTTCTTTGATAATTTATAGATTGTATTAGCTTTCCATTGCTGTAATAAAATACTTAAGATAATCAACTTAAAAACAGTAAAGGTTAATTTTGGCTCATGATTTCATAAATTTCTTTTCATGTTCAGAAAGTCCCGTTACTTTTGGTCTGTGGTGAGGCAGAACATTAAGTTGGAGACATGGTAGAATAAGCTGCTGACTTCATAGTGGCTGGAAAGAGAGAGGGTTAAAAGACCAGCTTTGACACATTTGCAATAATGCCCCCAGTGACCTAAAATCCCCATTTATCCTCACCTCTTAAAGTTTCCACCACCTCCTAATATTGCCAAGCTGGACTCTCAGCCTTTAATTCTTGGGCATTTGGGGACATATAAGATCTAAATCAAAGGATTCCACACATGGCCCCCAAGGTCTTATGTCCATCTCATCATGCAAAATGCATTCAGTCCATCTCCAAGAGTCCCCCAAATTTTAACCATTCTAGCATTGCTCAAAAGTCCAATTCGAAAGTCCTCAGAGTCCCAAGGCCAACTCAAACCTTGAGTCCTTAATAAAAATAAAAATAGAAAAAGGTTACATACTTCTAAAATATAGTGGTGCAGGGTAAACATTCTCCTTCAAAGAGGGCGGAATAGGAAAATAATAAGGAGCAATCAGACCAAAGAATACTGAAATGCAACATGGCAAACATTAAATCCTAGGTCCCCATGTCTGGCATCTGGTGCACACTGTGGCAAGATGTGGTCTCCCAGGAACTCAGGCAACCCGACCTCTTCAGCTTTGCTAATTACAGCTCATGTGGCAACTCTTTCAAGCTGACCTTGCAGGCTGCCTGCAGTTTCCCTAGCAGGGACACCTAGGCAGAGTGTGAATTCACCTGAAGAGAATAAACTAAGGAAACCATTAGCAGTCTGTATTGGCTGCCTGTGGCTGTGTACCTCCTCTCCCCTGCGTTTCTTTTGTGATCTCCACCTTCCCCACAATTACTTCATTACTATGATAAAAATAATTTTGCTTTTTCATTTGGTCACATTATTTTTTCAAATTTATAGTATGAATAAAAGCATTATGAATGACGACTTTGGAAGAGAAATGCACAAAATTAAACATGTTTTATAGAAACCATCCATTAGATATAAACCAATTTATAGGCCAATAATAAAGCCATGTTAAGGATTTTTGTTTAACCTGCCTTTATTCTGTATATACTTTGTTCAAAAACATGGCAATGTGGGAGAATTCATACATTGGAATTTGTTTTGAAAGGTTTATCATTGATTATATAAGATGATTTTGTATTGAGATATAATTTAATGAACTGGAATATTAAATAATCTATTTTCCTTTATTGTAGGTGATGGTGTTTGTACATGCTCGAAATGCCACTGTAAGAACAGCTATGTCTCTTATAGAAAGAGCAAAAAATTGTGGCCAGATATCCTGCTTTTTACCTACCCAAGGACCTGAATATGGACATGCAGAAAAACAGGTAGGATACAAATTACAGCAAGCAATAAGGAACTAAAGCAAATAATGTGCCACAAATACCTGGTATTTTACATATGAAATATCCATCATCTACAAATTCTAAGACATTAATTTTATAGATTTATTGACTTTTTTCTTGACTAAATGATCTTTTGAAAGGTCCCACTACTTGATGTATTCACTTATCACTTCTTTTAATATGACTTAATGGAATACTTATTCCTGATTTTTAAAATATAATTAAAATGTGAAATGCAGTTAAATTTCAAAAAATATGTTATCTACTGGGTTTTTGTTCTTTTAAATAATTAATATTTTAAATTAATTTCTCAGTTTTAACTTCTGAGGTTAGTATTGACAGATATAACCTAAATAAACAAAAGGTCTTTAAAAAATGTAAAGGAGCCCTGAAGCCAAAAAGCTTGAAAACATTACCTTACTAATTGTTGTATGCTCAAATAACTAAAAAGCCATGGGATCACCTGCATTCTAGTTAGAAAATCAGATCCTCAGAATCTCAGGCTTACCAAATAACAATCTACATTTCAACCTGTTTCCCAAGTGATTTCATGCACATTACATTTAAGAACTATTCTAGGTAATTTGTGTATTGGTACTCTTAAGATATATAGGAGATTTTATTTAATTATATCAATTTAATAATTTACATCAAGTTTGGACAAACTATGACAAAGGGCCTTGGGTGAAAATCTATTTTTGTAATTAATGTTTTATTAGAAAACAGTCAAATTTATTCTTTTATTATCTATGACTGCTTTCTCAGACCCACAGAGGGAAGAATTGAGTACTTGTGACAGAGACTGTAAGTTACTCTCTGTCCCTTTGCAGAAAAGGAATGCTGATTCTAATTTAAGACTATGAAAATAAATTTTAAATTTAAAAATCCTTTGACATAAATAATAGTAATTTCAACATTTTTATATTCATAACAAAATATTTAACTGATCATTTACAGTTGCCAGACATTGTCTTTATACTTCACATTTATTATCTTAATAAAACATAATTTTCATGATTGTACTGTTTTATTTTTTATTTATGTATTTTAATTAGGTATATATGACAGCAGAATGCATTTTCATTCATTGTATACAATTGCAGCACAACTTTTCATTTCTCTGGTTGTATACAATGTAGCATCACACCATAACTGCAGTCATACATGAACTTATGGTAATGATTTCCACCTCATTCCATCATCTTTCCTGCCCCCATTATAAGTTTTGTTTTACAATTTCATTTTGACATTTTAAATTCTGAAGCCAATGCCAGTTGTTTTGAATATCAGATTCTCTCAATTTATAACTGTGAAATTTATTTTCTTTATTTTTTTCACTTTATAAAATATTTTAATAATTTATTATATAGCTTTGCATTCTTCTGATTATTTGTTAATCATAAATTTATTAGTTTTTGAAAAGTCAACTTGGTATTTGCAAATTCTATTTTATTTCTTTAGAAATAGAAAGCAGCCCTATTGGGTTTAAAAAGCCAAGCTTTGAGAGCCACCTTGTGGATTTCTGGTTGCTGCATACCTCTTAGTTCTGAGAGCTATTGGTATTCTGTATAATTTATGTTCTTTTTCTAATTGTTGTAATAATATTTAACTCTTATTGAATGTTAACATTGCTTAATATAATTAATTCAGTCCTCACAACAACTGATGGTGGAGATTGGTTCTATTTTTCCTTGATTATGGCATATCTGTATTCAAATATGCATGGAATTTATTCTGTGACATATAGTTATAATTTATACAGAAATTTTTATGTTGTTTATTTAAGGCAGTGTCACCAATCACAAATCCACAGATCACTATGCTGATAAAGAAATAATACAAGAAATGGAAAGATTTAATACAGTTGGGGTAGACTTGAAACTACCTACTTACTATTATCTTTTTTAAAAAACTTTTTTAAAAAATATTCTTTTCGTTGTAGATGGACACGATACTCTTGTTTTACTTATTTATTTTTATGTGATGCTGAGGATCGATCCCAGTGCCTCACTGGGTTATTAAATAGCTTTTCACTGAGTATCGAACCTCAGTGGTGAGGCAAGGGCTCTGCCACTGAGCCACAACCCCAGCCCAGGTTATTATATCTTTTGCATAATTTTATTATATTTGTTTTTTATCCTGATTCAGCTGTTACTGGATTTTAAAAAAAAGTAAGAATGAATTCCTAACACATCTGTTGTATATATGTTTTCAAGAAGCATTGTCTTGCTTACCATTATATTCCCATCCCTTCACTTAGTGTTTTTCTGATAGCAGGAACTCCCGAATTACTTTTTTTCCTTGCTTTTATTATTCTAAGGCAGAAATTATAATAGGTGCTTTCATTGTAACTTTCTCATATGATCTGCACTATTATTCTGTCCTTTAAAGATTTTTATACCCATTTTATAGATAAACTAAAAGGGAGAGTACTATCTAAATCATGATTTGAACCAATATGACTCTGAAGTCACCCTTTTCACTATACTGTGTTCTATTTATTCAAAAGCAAAAAGATTGGATCCCATATGGGACTTCCTAAAGTCTTTAGGGTATTGAGTTGTGTTTTCTTTTCTTTTTTAATGAARTAGAAGAAAATTTCTTCAACCTAACTCTATCCTTTACTTCTCCTAAAGAGATTTTAAAAAGTGAACCTTTTCACAGTGCATATTATAACAAAAGATAAAATAATCTTGCCAAGTGTAGTGGTGCATACTTGTAATTCTAGCTACTTGGAAGGCTGAGACAGGATGATCCCAAGTTCCAAGGTCAGCCTGGGCAACTTAGGAAAACCCTGTCCAAAAAGGGCTTTAGATTTAGCTCAGTGATAGAGCATTGCCTAGCATGTGGAAAACCCTCAGTTCATTCCTCCATATTGCAAAAGTGTGTGTGTGTATGAGAGAGAGAGAGAGAGAGAGAGAGAATTTTCTGAATGCTTTTTCAGAGTCCCAGAATTTAATTTTTTTTTATTGGTAGTCATATTAACTTTCTAACAATTCCAAGGAAGCTATTATTGCAGTGATAAGAGATATTTCTTCCTACATTTTGGAAAGTGGGAAATTAAGCACTCAAAACATTAAAATGAAATTATAAGGTACATCTGCAAGTATAGTACATAGAAATTTAGCCTCATGACTCCTGTTAATGGAAATATAGTTTAATCCCTACTGTGCCATACTTACTCTACCTCAGAGTGTTTAACATACCATCTCAAATTCCTCTCTTAACAAGAAAGACCTTTAGAAGCACTTCTTTATAGTTTTATTTAATATGATATAACCTTGTTTGTTAAAATAATAAATCTCCACTAAGAAACCTTCTATTTTCCCTTCTGTCTCTCTCAAGATTACCCTAATCATTCCCTTCACTATTATGAAAGTCACCCTCATAAGAAAATTCACCTCTATTTCTAAATCATCCACTGAACTAAGAAGACAGAGAGAGAAAAGTGAAAAGTGAAGGGCCCCAAAAGTAGCTTGCAAGATAGAGATGGAACTCAAGGTTTCCTCTGGAAAGGGAGTATGTCATGAATTCCAAATGAGGCTCAAAACAAGAAGTTGATAAAAATCTGGTATGATTTTAACTCTAGAGGCTATAAGACCTCAGGCATCTAAACATTTCTGAAACTTACTGTCTCTTCTATCAAATGGAATGATGATGGAGTATTTAATACCTATTTTAGTGGAGTTTTATGAGAAACAAGTGGGATGGCTTTGAAATCATTTTGGAAACTGGCTGAAACTGATAAGACTTTAAATATCATATTGTAAAACTCTATTTTTAGAAAACATTGATAATGAAATTTTAAGGTGGTGAAAGGATAATGAGCAGTATGGATTCAATTTTCCTAATTTACCCTGTGTATTCATATTTTTTGTTTGTATGTTTGTTTGTTTTTGTGTTTGTACTATGGATTGAACTTGGGGCACTTGACCACTGAGCCACATCACCAGCCCTATTTTGTATTTTATTTAGAGACAGGGTCTCACTGAGTTGCTTAGTGCCTCACTTTTCCTGAGGCTGACTTTAAACTCTCAATCCTCCTGCCTCAGTCTCCCAAGTTACTGGGATTATAGGCGTATGCCATGGCACCCAGCATAGTCTTACTTTTTTACCATCCCTCTAAGATACTGTCTCAAGCAACCTCTATGTAAAACACAATATACCTCAAGGAATAGTAGCAGCTTATATTTGTAAATGTGTCAATAGGATGTATATATTTTTATTATTGAGCCATTGTTTTCAGTTATGATTTTCATTTTAAGTTAAATGGGTATTTGAGTTAGAATCTTCATATTCTGTTTCATTCAAGATATCAGTCAAATCCATATTGTTTCCCTCTTCAGGGAYAAAATTGTTCATAAGTCTTTAAGAATTCTGATATTGTATGTAGTATTCCCACCCATCTCTGTACTGAATTCTTTTGACTCATGGTCCCTGAGTCATATCATGGGCACTTTGATTCATGGGTACTGAGTATATATATTAGTGATATTGAGAGTTTTAGTTTTAGTTAAATATGGTCTGTCATGCAATAAGCCTAATGAATGTAGTTACTGSGAGTATCTATTGAAACAGTTAAAACAATAAATACCCTCAAGTTATGTTGAAATATGATTTTATGACTTTTTATTATCTAAATCTACAATAATCTTCTTAATTTCATAGATTCAGTATAGCTTTTACCTAAGTTGATGGCAACTAAATTGGTGGAACTTTGCTTAATACTAATAGCTTTTTCTTTTTCTGCTTCAACAACTTAAGAGTATCACTAAGACTAAATATAATTAGAATTTTCTCTTCCTGGAGTAGATGATTTCTGTTCACTAAAGACAGTAGCAAGGGTGTGTGATAGTTCACTATATTTTTTAATTTTACATCCAAAATATTATCTTCTCAGTTATTTTTTCCTTAGCCATGTATCTTACCAATTTCATCTACCTATCCTACCTTATTTCATCTTGGAAGCTAATATAGTAATT